ATGCTGGGTTTTGATAGCAATCAAATAATTTTCCCTTGCCTTCAAATTAACTGTGACGATCCTGGATCTTTTGACCCAGCGTTTTGAGTTTTAGTTTATGTTTAAGCCCTTCAGATTTTCTAAGTTCATTTTTTTATCATGCCTAGGTTGTTCTAGTTCTTTGTTATTAGATTCCCCTTATGTCTTCCACCCTTGTCAAGTCTCCCTTCCCCTTCATGTGTTTCATGTCTGTGTCTTACGTTTTCAAGTTCAGGTTGTTATGTCTGCGTCTTATGTTTCCTGTTTTATTTTGAAGAGGTCTGGTGTTCCTGTGTTCATCGTGTTTAGTTTTACTCTTCCACTGTGACATCATTATGTTCATGTGTGTCAGCTGTCCCCCGTGTGTTCCCACTTCTCTCATTAGCCTCCTGTGTGTATTTAGTCTGTGCGTTCTCATTCAGTCTTGGTCGGATCGTCTGTGTTGTTCCCATGCCAAGTCCTGCGTTCAGGTTTTCATATATATATTAGGGGTGCAACGATACTCGTATCGATATTGAACTGTTCGATACAGTGCTTTCGGTTCGGTACGCATATGTATCGAAAAATACAAAATTTTTAATTTATTTTATCAACTTTCCTTCTGATGATGCTGTCTGTGTTGAGCGCTCAGTGGATCTGCGCTCGACAGTGCAGCCTAGGCGGAGTGGTCGAACGCAGATTCACTGAGCGCAGGGCAAGCTAGCGAGACAGAAGTTAAGCTCTCCTTGCAACATGGCAAATTGAACCTCCCCCACCCTCATTCAGATCTGGCGTTTGGAACTATTTTGGTTTTCATGTGACGCATGACCCTGAAGGTAAGCGCGTCATGGACTAAAGTAAAACAGTGTGTTGGATGTGCCACGCAATGCTCAATTACATGGGTGGGAACTAGTGTGTTAGCATAGTTAGCTCGTTAACGTGTTGGCCGTCCAGCCCCACGCACGAAGCGATCCGCAGTAGCTCGTTAACGGAGATTTGCCGTGTTGTGGCATTAACGTCATTTCAGATTAACGCTGACAGCACTAGTGGGAGCACAACGAATATGACTGCACATTTACGCCGACATCATCCTAGTGCAAAGAAAAGTGGAAGAAGACAAAAACAACAAGCATGCATGCTACAAACTTTAGCCGAGTCATTTAGACAGCCGTTAGCACATGATTCTCCTTATGGGGACCTGATATGTTTAATATGCTGCTGAGAATATAGCCCAGAAGAAGCGTATAGTATAGCTTTTATTTTGGAAAGAGCCATTTCTCTGTAATAAACTCTCTTTTCCAAAGATGAGTGATTCCTCAATCAGATAACAGGGCTCGCAAAATCGCTAGCCCGACGTCCCGGGGCTAGCGATTTTTCCAGTCGGGCTACCAAAATCTATCTCTGCCCTGCCCGTCGGGCTATCGTAGGAAGGAAAAATATATGCCAATTGTAACCAAACTTACGAATTATTATTATTAATGACCGAACTCCCACTAGCCAGTATCAGAAGATCTAGAATCGGCAGGAGCCCAAGGTATAAACACCAATAAGGAGAGACCACACCACAATAGACTGTTCACAAATTTGTTATATTTGACACACAGCAGCTGCAACAATGTAATGAAAGCAATAAAATAAAATACAAAATATTTCCCCCAAAATACCAAACTAAATAAAAGTGCGCGCATACAGCTTTCTCTGAATCAATTATATAAGTGGATAATGTCTGGTAACTGATGGATCGTTGGGGCCCGTTCAGTTTGTTTAATGTTTGTCCTACCACACTCCGATGAAGGAAGAAAGTTCGTAGTCCTGCAGGTATCTGAAGCTTCAATGGGAACGAAACTTTGGCTTCAATAAAACCTCAGCAAATCCTATTCAATTTTGGGTTGGCTCGGCATCCAGTTAACTGGAACTGTGGAATCGCTGCTCCTCGATGGGGCTTGCTTCAGACTGGGTCCGTCTGTCGAGTCATCCTTTTACCAGATAACAAAACAACCTGACCTATAAACAGGTCACAGGTCCATATAGGCTACGTTCACACTGCAGGTCTTAATGCTCAATTCCGATTTTTTGATCAAATCCGATTTTTTTGTCTGCTCGTTCACACTACAAATAAAATGCGACAGCAAACGCGCTCTAGTGTGAACGCTCAAAGCGGCCCGCATGCGCAAAAGAAGACTTCACACACAACGCGCTCTGTTTAGACCCAGAGCAAACAGTATTGTTTGATAGATGGCCCTTAATATAAAGACTTCGGACTTTATGTTTCCCAATTTTTGCTTTAAGTTATTTTGTTGTTTACATAATAATGTAAATAACTTAATAATGATCCTTATTGCTGTTTTAGAGAGGAGCGGTGCTTCAAAGGATAGTTGCAGATTTCTGTCAGAATCTGCAGATTATACAGTACAAATAAAATGTTCACGTTTCTCCAACGTTGTCTTCCCAACAGTTTCACTGATATCTACACGGGATGGCCAGAGAAGCGTTCGCGATGTCTTCTCGGGCGCTTCTCTGGCACTGATAATTGGCGTCTGTCTTGTGTCAGTGACGTAAAAGACGGATTTAATGCGACCTGACTGTTCAAACAGCAGTCGCTTTCTAAAACATCGGATATGTATCGGATTCAGTACCACATACGAAAGTGACCCAGATCGGATTTGAAAATATTGGATTTGCGCCGTTCACACTGTCATAGCATGATCGGATATGGGTCGCATAGGGTCAAAAAAATCGGATTTGATGCGCTTTCGCCTGCAGTGTGAACGTAGCCTTAGTCACATACACCGTTGTGAAACAGCCACACTTACTTAAAACATTCAAAATGAACAATAAGTATTAGTGTAACTCTATATCTTAATTCAGCTAGCTCTGTTGTACAACAAAATTATATCACTGCAGCATCATATCCTCTTAGGTGAGCTATAATTTTATCAACCTGACGGGCTGACAATGTTCACAAAAACACAGCTTCTAGAGTTAACACTGTAGCTGCAGTCAGCAACTCACAGTAGCTCACCAGACTTGTACATTATAGCCAACTCAAAGAACACAACTGAAAATCTGAGAATCGGCTTACAATTGAATTAAATTGTTACACATAAAACTGATTAGCACCATTTCTTTCGTTTTCGTTTCTTTTCTTTCTTTTTTTTCCCTTAAACGTAATATGATTGCAGTCACTAGCCATTTCACACACAGAAACAGTCAATTCTGCTAGCGTGAGCGCTAGCTGTTAGCTTAGCCGTCCCGTTAAGTCTGCCCTTTTATCCTTAACAAATTAGATTTTCCCCACTTTTCGTACTCACCGTTGACAGGGTGACACTCTGAACGACCAAAACAACTGCAGCAGTCTTGCTTTTAACTCCTAGCGATTCGACTTTGGGAACATTAGTTTCTCTGGCACATGGCATTGTATGAACAGGAACGAAATGGCAACACAGGAAATCATGTGATCAAGGTCAACAGCAAGGGTCACTGGGAGCTCATTGCTGATTGGCCAAGTTAAATGACAACAGATAATCTTATTTGTCCACATCTTCCTTTAAACATAAAAGAAAGAAGAAATGACTAAATTGTTTACATCATACACGAAAAAAACTACTTTCCACTGCTCTTTTTTTCTAGCTGGGCTACACAATGCTTTTGCATTGTTTTGGAAATGTAGCTGGGTAATTATGTCATTGGCATCGGTGAGCCACTGTCAATATGTGACATTGAATTTGCGCTTGTTTTTTGCTTTCACTTTGCAATTGCGCGAACTGTGTATAGAGAGCGACAGTACTGATTGGTGAGTGACGATCATTTCCTCTGACATCGTCTTATCAATCGTTAGCTTACTATGCAAACATGACAAGTGAAATCTCCCGCAGCAAGCTTAAACATGTGAGAGGTTGATCGCGCAGAGAATCACTGAGCGTTATGTGAGTGCGTGTGTAAAAGCAGCAGGATATATATTTTAGTTCTGCTGAGCCAAATAAGGCAGGTCAGGGTGAAGAAGTGACAGCCAAAGAAAAGCTTACCACAAAACGGAAAAGTTATGACAAATCAGACTATAAGGCAAAAAGAAAGTGCAGCTTTATGGTTTCATGGACAAAATTTCTGTGGCTGCAATATGACGAGCTAAATAACCAGGGCTGCACATAAGTGGTCCGCAGCTGCGCATTCGCTGTCAAAATAAAAAACGCGCACAAGATAAGAAGTTTCAACGCGTGTTTGCGTACATAAGATTTTCTGGAGGACAGACATTTGTTTAGAACTCTTAGAGATGTCGAAGAAGCAAGCTCCTTTAAGCAATTACTTTGGTTTTCCCTCACCTCCAAAGAAATGTCAGAAGGAGTCCAAACCACAAAAGAAGCACGTATTCTCGGTAAAGTGGTTGCAGGAGGTGAGCTGGCTTCAAACAAATGATGAACGCACAGAGATGTGGTGCAGAATGTGCCGTGAAAATTGCACTCTAGCGGACAAAAACAGTGCCTTTTATATGGACGCAATGTTTTTGTTTCCTTTACAATATTGTACTTTAATGTATAATATTGTAAAGGAAACAAAACAGGAAACAAAACATCAATCAAAAAATTGCTCTCTTTTTTTATTCGGGCTACTTAAATTTATTTTGGGCTGTCAAAAACGGAAGAGTCCCTGCCCGAAGGGCTACCAGGGATTTTGAAATTTTGCGAGCCCTGAGATATAGTTATTTTTTTTATAACTTTTTTGTTTCAGCAACATTAAATTTAAAAACTGTACTTTTGAGTTAAAATATATATTTATAATTTTAATAAATGACAAATTAAAAAGGCATGAACATTTTTTTTGTATTGAAAAAATATCGAACCGTGACACCAAAGTATTGAACCGAACTGTGAATTTTGTGTATCGTTGCACCCCTAATATATATATATATATATATATATATATATATATATATATATATATATATATATATATATATATATATATATATATATACACACATCATCATTGCCATGTTTAGAGTTTTGTTTGTTTTTCTGTTTGCCAGGGTTTTTCATGCTTCCTTTCTAGTTTACCCAGTTTAGGTTATTGCTTAGTTCGCATTGTTTGCTCTTTTATTTTGTACTGTTCTGTCTGCCTTAATAAACAGCTCATCAGTTAAGTTTGAGTTTTACAATGTCTGCACCTGGGTCCACTCTTCACACTCCACGCAGTTTGCCTCGGCAAACTGTGACATTAACTTCAAATCATTTTCATATCAGCCAGAACAATGTCCCTGTATTTGTGCTCCAGGTCACCCATAAACTCCAGGTGGTTGGTAAAACTGAAGCCCTGGATTGGCTCTTCCTGCAGGTAGAAAAGAAGAAATTTAGAGTTAGAGTCAATCTTTGAGCATTTATCCTGGTTGATGGGTCCTCGATCAAGGCATCCAAGTAGTGACCTTAGCACGACCTTAGGAGCAGTATGCGTCACGTGATAATTGTGTGCAAGACCTGTCAGCGGTGTAAAGTTCACACTGAACGCATTTGGAGCCTTGCTACGTGCTGCTAAACCAGGTGTTGTGCCAAGGTAGGCATCTCCGAAAAGTTTGTTCCCCCTGCACCGCGAGCATTTGTTGGGCACAGAGTGCAGATCCAGTTTACTCCGCTTCCATTACAGACAATTAGATGTGGAAGTAGTGATGTTTTAGTTTTGTGAAAAAGGTAAAAATGAGTGTGTTACATTACCATTCAGTTTGAGGGTTACAACAGAATATTATATATTTATTGTTCTCAAGTGGTATCGGACAGGATTATTTGAACAAACAAAGGACACTTTGCCTGATAATTATTTTTATCCTCCTCTAACTTTACTATATAAAGAGCTAAAACCTCCAACGTTTCAGGAGTAGTTAGTCGTTGTAAGAAGTGTTTCTGAACTAAAAATCAAGAATGTGGGATACTGTTTGTCTGTGATTCAGAGAGCCTAGCGTGTACGCAGGGGGGAAGAGTTATGTCGGGGATACCGATAATCTAAACAGTTTCGTGGTTCGAAGAAAAAAAAACTATGAAAAACACTTTTTTTCATACTTGTGTTAAGTCTTGTATAGAAATGACACAAAATTCAGTCTCAGGTTAAATGTGATAGAAACAGCTTACACTGACATCCATCTTTATAAAAGTGTTGTGAAACCATGTTTGCATTTATTTACACTGCTTTCCACTCTGGATGTCTATTTATGTTAAGCTTTAAGTATAAAAGGGTCCATTCTACAACTGTTTTTTTTTTTTTTTTTAGTTTTGTGCTGATATTGCCCTTCTTTTTTCAGAACCAAAGACTTTTTGAAATCTTCATAAAATTGCATTTTAAACTACTTTTGGAATATTACTTTAAATATTTAAACTTTTAGCAGAACTTTAAATCTAAATAAAAAGAGCAGTATTGCTGAACTGCAAAATATTTTGGGTGCAGTGTAAAGTGTAATAGGATGGCTTTAGTGTTTTGTTTTTTTTTAATTGTAGTATGAACTTTTCAAAATGCAGCAAGATATTTTAAAAAAAACAGGTTTTTTTTTATTATAAAAATAGACTATATCGGATTCATATCAGTATCTGCAGATATACAAATTTATGATATCGGTATTGGTATCGGACATAAAAAAGTGGTATCGTGCCATCTCTAGTTATTACACACATGTGTGGGCATAACTACTTGATGACCTGAGGGGTCGTCTTAGGTTAAAGATACCAAACAGGTCAGAGATGTACTGTGAGGGAGCAAACCACTGAGATCTTTATAAACTAATAGAATGATTTTAAAACTAATTCTATATATAAACCTGAAAGCTAACAAAGTGACTTTTATACTGGGTTAAAGTAGTGTCACTGTCCAAGAATGTTGACGAGGTTTCTGACTTGGCATTGACAGTGACCCTGGGGGATTCATGGGTGGTGAGTGCTCACAGCAATGAACGATGGAGGGATGGACCAACATGCAGCAGGTCAGGTCACATTCCTGACCTGTTACGGCTTCTTATAGCTTGGAAACTGCAGAATCTTCCTCTGATAAAATGTTTTTTTGATCAATCTGACATAAGGTTTTATGCTCGTGCTTGCAAATGTATACAAGCGAGTGGTCAGACAGTGATCCCAATGAAGGAGGAATCTGAGAAGAACAAGGACAAGACCTTGGGAGGGACAGCAGGACAATTAATTTAAGATGTACTTTTATGAGTGGAATGGTTGATCTTTTTGACTGCTCATTGTACTGTACATTTACTGTGTGTCGTCTGACACCCTCAACATGAAATGTGCGCTCTATTGCAGGTTATGGACAGATTTAAAAGTGTCCAAAAATCACACTTAATTGCTCATTAGAGTTAACTGACTGTTATATAGGCAGTAGTTAACGAACGAATGAGAAAGCAATCTTCAGACGGCCTTTGTCTCTTGCTAGTGGAATATATCGCCAGAGTACCACTTTAAAGTACAAACGAGGCAATCAAAAGTTTTAAAGTACTTTCTAAAGAGCAGACTGTTGTCTTATAATTGCCATCAGTTGACTTGTTTAAAAAAAACTGCAGTTAATATTGTTTTAAAGACACAAAAGTCTGTGTCCTAAGAGGTGCAGTTAGACAGTGTTTTGGAGGCAGAAGGTTGTTTGCTTTATCGTCATTCACTTTGTTAGGACATGAGGTGTGGATAATTTGATATAACCTTTTCATTAAAATGTTTTACATTCAATCTGTTTCAAAGTCAGCGGAAATCAAATCTCTGGCAATCGAATGCTGCACCGCGCCAGTAAACAACATGATTGCTCAGTGTTCAGGTAATGAGGTTTTACGTGTTGGAAAAGCGAAACAAACAGGGTTGCATAGATATCTTAATAACTACGACCATCCCCACCACCCCCACCCACACACACACACACACACACACACACACACACACACACACACACACACACACACACACACACACAACAGAATGTAAATTAACAAGCTGCAATATCTTAACTAGAGAGACGTGTATTAGACCAGACAACAGAACATTTATTTGGCTCATTTGTTCAGTCAGGATTTTAATTTCAGCTGCTATAATTGCTGCCTGAGCTTAAGTATGCATCTGTGATGGCAACACCCGACCCCATGGGCAATGCAAACACTGCAACTGTGGCTGTGAGTGGCATCATCAATTAGCAGCCTGAGGAAACCTGCACCCAGAAGACAATCTGCATTCAGAATAACACACACAAAGAGCAAAAGTCTAAGTTCCCAACCTTTCAGTATCCAGGCTGGGAACTTAAAAAGAAAAAAAGCACTTTTAAATGACTTCTGGAACTGCTCAGCACTCTCTTAATTCTCTCTTATTTTTGTAGGTAAAAACACATTCAGTGACTGCAAACATGGGTTAAGACTGCACACTAATTCTCAATCATTTATTTATCATACTGATGAGGATGTAAACAAACTTTCTCCAATCTTCTCTGTGTTTACAGAGAACTGTAAATACTCACCACTGTCTCTATAGTGAGCTAAGTAGTACTGCAATTTAAGAGAGTAAATTTAATAATGTTATAATGTGCCATTGCTTGAGATGTTCCAATACAAATTTTTGGCCAAGAGCTGGATGTGGCATTCAAAGTTCATTTAGATAATACTTTAGAATAAGTGTGCTAATAAGTGCTTATATGCAATTTAGGATGATGACTTTAAAGACTTGCTTCTAAAAGGACCCTGGTTTGACTGTCACCCTCTGTAAGGTGTTTGTGTTTATTGCTTTATTGTGTAGCGGTTAACAATAGGAGGAAAAGAGCAGCATAATTTTTACGTAACCAAAGTTCTTTTCTTTTGTATCCATCATCTACTACTCTGCAAATCACCTTGGGCTCACCTCAGGCTTCTTCAGAGTCATTTTGTGACCCTTAATAACCATCTACTAAAACAGTCTGTATAACATTTAGGCTCCGATGTCTTTTATGAAGTAATATTATTGTGATTGTAGAAATGCCACCGAGTACTGAAGTGCAAAGAAGAGAAAGAGATTAAGAACAAATGGAGCAATACATTTCTATAATTTAAAAGGAGAAAATAAAGTGACTTCAGAGGAGTGACTGTTCAGAGGGGAGTAAGTACCGCCAGGAAGAAATGAGTTTTCAGTCTGATGAAGGACCCTGCTTCTGTGATTATTCCAGGAAGCATTGCATTTCTGTCTGAGAAAGCTTTAAAAGAACAATAAAGGCTTGCTGTGATTACATCTTCTTTAGATTTACAGGTCACAAAACAAGACATAAATGATAAGTCTGCAGTACCAGCTATATTATTTTAAATCTATTATATCCATGTTTTGTTACTGTGGATGCACACAGACAGGAGGTATATGGTTTTGAACAGTGAACAGTGAAATGAGTCCTAAAGAATCATCTAAACTGAAGCTATTTGGCTTGTTCATTTATTGTAATGACAAACAACCACTGACACAGCAGTATTTGTGTTTTGATATTTTAAGAACAGTGAATAATGAACAAGAAAGGTAAATACTTTATTGATGCTCACTTTCTATTTTGACTAAAAAGGGTTGCACAGAATATAGTTGCTATGCCAGTGTTCAGAGCTGTTAAGTGGATACTTTCATGATTAACAGGCAATATGAGCTGCTTAATGTTCCACATAATCTTAATGGTTTATTAACCGTTTGCACTTATGAGATCATTAGGTAGGATAATTAATGTAATAATTACCAAAGATTTCTATATTTTCTTAATCTTGCACTGATGTGATGAATTGATGTTAATATTCAATGTGAGTTTGGATATGCACAGAAGGTAAAATTAACAGGAATGCATTGCAGTGCACACACAGTTTTATTGCTTAGTTTAAAAAATAGAAGCATTTCAGCTGGTTGCTCTCAAAGTAAGGCTGATGTAGTTTTGATTGGAGGGCGGTATCAAATGACGTTTACTCTTTAAAGGTCTTTTATTCTGTGACACAGTCACATCTCTGTGAGATTCTTTGTAGCTCATTTTATTTCTGATTGGCCATCGCAAATAGATGCTTTTGACGAGTTCTTCTGGGTGTTTTCTCTGGATTTTAGTGTTGCTTTTACCCCCAAACTTTAATATAAAATACCCGACTAAGTGATTGGATTTCATAAGGAATTGTGAGAACTGAAAGAAAAATAGTCCAGCTGAGAAAAAAAAAAATTTTTAAAAAGAAATGGATCCAAGCAACATCAAACACCTGCTGGCTGAAGAAGCTACATACTGCTACTTAATTTAGCAGGCTGCTACCTACTTGTTTAACAACAACCCATATGGAAAAGATATATATAAATCTTATAAAGTTTGTATCTGTCTTGTGTGAAACTTGT